TTTTAGCTTTTCCATTTGAGTTGTGATATTGAGAAACTGGAGACATTTTTTTAGTTATTTCCACGCGGAAATTAGGCCAGTTCCAAGCAGTATAAGTAGGTGCCAAGCTGGACCAGGCGAATATTATCGTTATGCATCGATTCAGAGCTAAGTTACATAGCGGCTTAGAACGGCCTATGCTATCGAGCACCGAGCAAAGCTAAATACATTGTGTGGCGGTTGTAGACATGCTATTTAAGGGCCAGGGATTCTGAATGTGATAGCCAACAATAATAAAGAGACCGTGTCAAGATCACTACATGTAGAATAATCTTTAAACCATGGAAAGTATGATGCTAGGAGCTCAGTTTTTTGGTAGGAATAATTGCACGGCTTACTGTGAACTCAGCATTTTGTAGCGAATGGTCTAACTTAAACCTAGATTTATGAAATTAAAGAAGTCGATTTGGGCACATAGGGGCTCATAGGTTGGGAATAAATATCCACTCCAAAGCGAAGCGAAGCCGGGAAGGCAAACAACTTGAATAAAACCCAAACTACCGCCGGTGCTTGGCTAGTGATAATTAAAGTAAAAACGAAAAGCTGAACAAATTAAAACAAACTTGAAAGCTGAAAGCCTAAGCGATACACGCTCGTCAAAATGACTCCAGCGTGATATGCTATATCGAAGTTACAGCAATGCTGTAAGAAAGAATTATGTGCATTGACAATAATATTGCCTTTATATTATACCGTATTCCTTCTGTGATTAACGACAGCCATATTCTTGAAGTGAATGATGCCTATCGCTAAGCAAAACATATACTACTGTAGTACCAACCGTAAATTGATCAGGTTTAATCTTGCACTTTGTAAGCTGTCAGTAAGCACTTAAGCTGCAACAGTACAAAATTTAGAGCGCAATGATTGGCTTTTTCGATTGTCATTGATGAGTTAACGTCGTCAATACACATAAGAAATACGGTGCATCAACATTTTGTACCTGTGCACTTATTATATTTAGAGCTAAATTTAGAGATTGTTTATGACACCCCCTTATGCCAGTTTTGGGAGGCGTCCAGTGGTTGTAAGTCTATGTGACACGCGTCTTTTCCGCTAAAGTACACCAGAAATTCTCTCCCCTTATTCCAGATTCTAGACAGCTCCAGGAATATGGGGAAGATAACCCTGGTGTGTGCGATTGTTGGGGAGGTGGGAAGCGCGTTTGGTGTGGAGATAGACGACGGTGAGTAAGTGTGGAAGGCGAAGGAAGTCATCGCATACAAGCTGAAGTACACGGGGCGACCTGACAAAGGACTCGGCCTCGTCCTCACTGGCCGAGTCGAACTCACGTTCAGCGAACCGAGGGCTCGGACGGTTGTCTAGGGCGGCCGAGGGTGACGGACTGCGGCGTTTGCTCGCACGCTTGCTCACAGCCGCGTCACTAGCTGAGCCTATCGCCTCCGAGGCCACCTGAGTAGCCTCTTGGAGTGCAGAGCCTTTGCCGTGAGGCTTAGCACTCTTGGCTTGCGCCTTTCCCGCAGCAGTTTTGGAGCGTGTCTTCGCACCGCTCTTTAAAGTGCCACGAGGCATGGTAAACGGTCGAAGTGGAGACCACGAAGAAGAGCGCACAGACTGCTGCTCGAGGCTCTAACTGTGAGGTGGGCCTCCGCCGCGCTCGCGCGGCCAAGTCGATGGTTTTCGACTTTGAGAATGAAAGTTTGTGACGCAGACTTCTTCATTCTGATTGGTCGGTAAACCGAACCTAAGTGGGGGGGATGTAACGGGGTACAGAGCCCTAAGTGTATCCCTGGTTACATGAAGTGTGACACGTCACACTTCAGAAGTATGACACGTCATACTTTGGATATTTGGTACAAGGTACCAAGGTCGTCCAAAGCCAACCATGGTTAATGACATTGCATTTCTATAGTGACTATAGTTGTATAAACCAGCTTTATCTACCTATAATATATCATTACATCTACTTAATAGTCACTTGCTCTCTTAAAAGGAGAACTGTGAATGGCCTACCTGAGAATTTATTATACTCTGGGGAAATCAAATCTCTCTCAAACCCAAATTGCCTTTTTAAACCCTTCCCAAAAGAACTTTAACGCGGCAGCGAACATAAACCGCCCAGGTCTTTGTGGCTAAACATTTTCCCAAATGGCTGTTATTTCCAAATGGTTGAATATTAAGAGGGTTTATTTTTTAAAAATTATAAAAATGAACGCTACATACATTAAAAATATTGTTTAGCTTTCATTGAGTTTGATATGAGAACTGAACAATCTTTAGTTACTTACAAGCTGAAATCGGCAGTACAAGCAGATAAGTAGTGCAAGCTGGACAGGCGATTATTATCGTTTGCATCGATCCGAGCTAAGTTACATAGCGGCTTAGAACGGCCTATGCTATCGAGCACGATGCAAAGCTAAATACATTGTGTGGCGTTTGTAGACATGCTATTTGAAGTGCAGGTGATTCTGAATGTGATAGCCAACAATAATAAAGAGACCGTGTCAAGATCACTACATGTAGAATAATCTTTAAACCATGGAAAGTATGATGCTAGGGGCTCAGTTTTTTTGTAGGAATAATTGCACGGCTTACTGTGAACTCAGCATTTTGTAGCGAATGGTCTAACTTAAACCCAGATTTATGAAATTAAAGAAGTCGATTTGGGCACATAGGGGCTCATAGGTTTGGAATAAATATCCACTCCAAGCGAAGCGAAGCCGGGAAGGCAAACAACTTGAATAAAACTCAAACTACCGCCGGTGCTTGGCTAGTGATAATTAAAGTAAAAACGAAAAGCTGAACAAATTAAAACAAACTTGAAAGCTGAAAGCCTAAGCGATACACGCTCGTCAAAATGACTCCAGCGTGATATGCTATATCGAAGCTACAGCAATGCTGTAAGAAAGAATTATTGCATTGACAATAATATTGCCTTTATATTATACCGTATTCCTTCTGTGATTAACGACAGCCATATTCTTGAAGTGAATGATGCCTATCGCTAAGCAAAACATATACTACTGTAGTACCAACCGTAAATTGATCAGGTTTAATCTTGCACTTTGTAAGCTGTCAGTAAGCACTTAAGCTGCAACAGTACAAAATTTAGAGCGCAATGATTGGCTTTTTCGATTGTCATTGATGAGTTAACGTCGTCAATACACATAAGAAATACGGTGCATCAACA